TTCTTTCTTTCTTTCTTTCTTCTTAACAAAAAATTCATAATATGAGGATAAAAAGTAAAGAAAAGTGATTGCAAGTATTAATATTTGAATTTTAAATTTGTTGAAGCAATCACTTTTCTTTACTTTTTATCCTCATATTATGAATTTTTTGTTAAGAAGAAGAAGAAAAAGAAGTAGAAGAAGAAGAAGAAGAAGAAGAAAACTTGCAATCAAATTTTTTTACATTTTATCCCCATATTCTGAATTTTTTGTTAAGAATAAGAAGAAGAAGAAGAAAGAAAGAAAAAATATTGAGATTTTCTAGTAAAAGCATATACAACATCAAGAAAATAATAAACTAAATTAGGTAAAAGATTATATTTATGCATTATTTATTTATGAACCATAAGTAGTAATAATAATAATAATAATAATAATAATAATAATAATAATATATATTATTATTATTATTATTATTATTATTATTATTATTATAATACAATTTTAAGAAGGAAGGGTTTTGACCATTAGAATCATGAGAAAGAATACATCTATCTTGTACAAGAGAAAATATATGTGATTTTTACATGAGAGATGAGTTTTCTATAAAAAAGAAAAAGTAAGGAAAACATAGACCCTGTATGGAATAAGAGATATTATATGGATTTTAATACTAATGAAAATGATGAGATTTGTGTTGGAGTATGAGTGCATTGTTTGTTTTGTTGGATGTACATACTGATTTTTTTTTTTTACATTTATAATAAGTTTTTTTATGGTTCATAAATAAAAAATGCATAAATATAATCTTTTACCTAATTTAGTTTATTATTTTCTTGATGTTGTACATGCTTTTACTAGAAAATCTCAATATTTTCTTCTTCTTCTTCTTCTTTTTCTTAAAAAAAAAATTCATAATATGAGGATAAAAAGTAAAAAAAAGTGATTGCAAGTCTTCTTCTTCTTTTTTCTCTTTTTTTTTTTCTTTTTCTTCTAAACAAAAAATTCATAATATGAGGATACGAAGTAAAGAAAAGTAATTGCAAGTATTAATATTTGAATTTTAAATTTGTTGAAGCAATCACTTTTCTTTACTTTTTATCCTCATATTATGAATTTTTTGTTAAAAAGAAGAATAATAATAAAAAGAAGAAGACTTGTAATCACTTTTCTTTACTTTTTATCCTCATATTATGAATTTTTTGTTAAGAAGAAGAAGAAGAAAAAGAAGAAGAAGAAAGAAAAAAAATTAAGATTTTCTAGTAAAAGCATATACAACATCGAGAAAATAATGAACTAAATTAGGTAAAAGATTATATTTATGCATTATTTATTTATGAACCATAAGTAATAATAATAATAATAATAATAATAATATATATTATTATTATTATTATTATTATTATTATTATTATTATACAATTTTAAGGAGGAAGGGTTTTGACCATTAGAATCATGAGAGAGAATGCATCTATCTTGTACAAGAAAAAATATATATGCTTTTTAAATGAGAGATGAGTTTTCTATAAAAAAGAAAAAGTAAGGAAAACATAGACCTTGTATGGAATAAGAGATATTAAATGGATTTAAATACTAATGAAAATGATGAGATTTGTGTCGGAGTATGAGTGCATTGTTTGTTTTGTTGGATGTACGTACTGATTTTTTTTTTTACATTTATAATAAGTTTTTTTTTATGGTTCATAATTCATAAATAAAAAATGCATAAATATAATCTTTTACCTAATTTAGTTTATTATTTTCTCAATGTTGTACATGCTTTTACTAGAAAATCTCAATATTTTTCTTCTTCCTCTTCTTCTTCTTCTTCTTAACAAAAAATTCATAATATGAGGATAAAAAATAAAGAAAAGTGATTGCAAGTATTAATATTTGAATTTTAAATTTATTGAATATGGTAGTAAAATAGAACCAAATGAATTAAATCTTAAGTTTATAGGGTTTATAATTTTACATTTCCATTTATAATTTTTTCTTTTATATTTCCTACAATATGAAGTAAGTGGTATAGTATTATTGTAGCTAGTATGTATTTATTTATTAATTTGTTTTATAATTGGTTGGTAGTTGTCATGGCTAAAAAGATAATGACCAACTAATTTTGGGGTTAGTCTTTCTTTGTAATTTGCTTGTAGCTTCTATTGTCCTTATCATGATAATGTATGACATTAACTTACTGAATTAAAAAAAGTTATTAAAGAGTATAGAAAAACATTGTTATAACAACTACCTTATTTGCTTGTCGCTTCCAAATGTCTTCTTTTTTTGTCTATATCAATTTTTGTAGATTTATAAGTGTTAACACATGATTTGTTGGCCGGTCATATTTTATTAGTAATTGCTAACTCTCATTAATTTTAAAAAAAAAATTGCAAGTTGCAGTAAAATCAGATGATTTTATTGTCATAGAAGTTGATTTTATCGCCATAAAAGTTAAATGAATCAAGAAAAATTGAAATATTTCGTAGATGAAATTTAGATTCCAATCATATTATCAATTATTTATCTTTGGTGGTGCATGGAAAGCACCCTAAACTTTGTTTGACCGAAAAAAAGTTGATATATATATATATATATATATATATAATCCAAATACAGAGTTGTTTTTTTCTTTCTTATTTGTTAGTGTTGGTGAATGGAGCTACTTTCTTGCTTATGCTTTTGGAATGATGTATTATTTAGACTCCATTTGATTGGTTGTTATTTTTTATATTTATTAAAAGATATAAATGTAAATCAAACAGAACCTGATTTATTTAATAAAATTAGTAACCAAGCTTTCTTTACTTAATTAGTAATATTTCTATTGTGAATTACATTGCTCATATAATTAAAAAACAAAAAAACTATGAAGGCTTATTTTCTATGGGAAATAAAAAAAAAAAAAGACTTTGTTTTGGTAATGAAAAAATTTTGTACGATGCTGGAGTTTTTCTATTATTTAGTTGAAGTGATAATATATATATTTTTAATATAGCTATCTAAGGCATTTTTGTCTTTCATCAAAACTGCTCTTTCCTATTTGGATTGGGACTGCATTTAGACAGCGACGCATGAAACAGTTTGGAAGCTTTATTTTCGAAAGTCAGTCTTTCATTATAATTGCTATTTCTATGTTCAAAATTCTAAGCAAATCGCAATGTGAAACAGTTTCTTAATTTCTTCCTTTAATAGAAAGGAAAGAACTTTGGGCAATCTGATGACTGATCCAATTTTTTCATCATGGGTCGCTTTCTTCTATCTGCCCACAAATAAGGCTTCAACCTTTCTCCTAAACTCATCTCATCCCTTTAATCGTTTTCCACTCTTAAGTTTTTGCTTAAATTCAGTTTCTCTTTTTACAAAAAACCCTTTTCCCTACTTCCCTCCTTGCTGCATTTGTCTTTTTCTAACCTGCTTTTAATCCCCTTGTTCTTCTCTTTTTTTCCTCTCTGTTTCTCTCATTGATTGCTAACGGTTCGGAAGACGAGTCTGTCTAAACCATTTCCAGTCTTTACCCATAACTGATTTTACATATATTCCTCGCTGTCATTATCTTTCTTGTTAATTGCTCTCCTGTTGTCTCTGTTTTATTCTGTCATTTGCTTTGCTTGTTTGCTTGAAACTAAACAATCAACCAAAAAATAAACATGGAACCAATTGCAACTGGCACTGCAGCCAGACTTTCTTCGGAAGCTGGGAAAGGCATCTTTCATGAAATCAAACGTCATATGAGATATGTAACTATCTATAAGAAAAACGTTGAAAATTTTGAGGAGAAAATCAAGATGTTGTTGGCGAAAAGAGAAAGTGTTCAGAAAGAGATCGAAGTTGCAGAAAGGAACGTGGAGAAGATTAAACCGCACGTCGAGCTTTGGTGCAGTACTGTGGACAAGGTCATCAAAGACGAGGTGGAAAGTGTGAAGGATCTTCAAGACAAAGCAACCACCACGTGCTTCATTGGCTTGTGTCCTAACATTAAGTCTCGCTACCAACTTAGCAGGAAAGCAGAAGAAGTTGTCGCGGCTGTTAATGAACACCTTAAACAAGGTGAATTCAACACTGTTTCATGCCCTGCTCCTCCGCCAGCAATAGTTGATGCAACTCCTAAAGATTTTGAGAACTTCGAATCAAGAGCAATGGTTTTTAAAGACATCACGGAGGCATTGAAAGATGTTACTATCAACGTGATAGGGGTGTATGGGATGGCTGGCGTGGGCAAAACCACTCTAGTCAAAGAAGTCGCTAGACAAGTCAAAGAAGATAAGTTATTTAATTTGGTGGTTATGGCAGTTGTGAATCAGACTCCTGACGTTCAAAAAATTCAAGACCAACTTGCAGATTTATTGGGTCTATAATTAGAAGAAACGAGTATGGTTGTAAGAGCAGGTCGGTTGCGCGAAAGATTGAAGAAAGAGAAGAAGGTTCTCGTTATGTGGGGATTCCTTTAGGAGATGAGAATAGGGATGCAACATATTGATCACGTCAAGAGATCTAAATGTTCTAAGGAATGAGACGGATGCTCAGAAAAATTTTGCTCTATCTGTTTTAGAAGGTAAAGAAGCTTGGGACCTGTTTAAGAAGATGGCTGGGGACGATGCTGAAAGTCCTGAGTTGCGATCTACAGCAATCGAAGTAGCGAAAAAATGTGCAGGACTGCCTGTCGCCATTGTAACAGTTGCAAGGGCTTTAAGAAACAAAGGGTCACGTGGAATGATGCTTTGAGAAAACTACAAAGGCCTTCCCCAACAAACTTCACTGGAATACCAGCACATATTTATTCAGCGATAGAGTTGAGTTACAACCAGTTGGAAAGCGAAGAACTCAAACAGACATTCTTGCTTTGTGGTCTACTAGGTCATAACACTGCCATTGGAGACTTGCTGAAATATACCGTTGGTTTGGGTTTATTTCATGGTGTCAACACAGTAGAAGAAACCCGAGATAGATTGCTGACAGTGGTGAGTGACCTCAAATCCTCTTGTTTGTTGCATGATAGTTACACCAATGTGCGTGTTGATATGCATGATCTCATTTGTGATGTGGCGTTAGCAATTGCTTCTAGGGACAACAATGTGTTTGCATTAAAAGACGAAGATGTTCTGAAAGATTGGCCTAATGGAGAGACAATGGAAAAATGCACCATGATTAGTTTGAGATATGCTAATATTAGCTATTTTCCGAAAGAGTTGAAATGTCCGCGACTTACCTTTTTCTTTGTGGGTAGCAAGGATTCTTCTGTGAAAATACCAACCAGCTTTTTCATGGAAATGAAAAATCTTGAAGTATTAGATTTGACTAAGATGCATTTTTCGTACTTACCTTCATCAATTAGTCTTTTAAAAAATCTTCGAACATTGTGCCTAGATCAATGTGTGCTGGGAGATATTACCCTTATTGGAGAGCTTAAGAATTTAGAAATTCTTAGCCTTTTGAGTTCTGATATTGAAATGCTGCCTAAGGAAATTGGGCAACTGGTTAAACTAAAGTTGTTAGATCTGAGTGACTGTACCAAACTCAAGATAATACCACGAGGTCTCTTATCAAGTTTTTCCAGATTAGAAGAATTATTTATGGCCAATAGTTTTGTTCATTGGGAAGTAGAGGGACAAGTCAATGCTAGTCTTGCTGAATTGAAGGCTTTGTCTTGCTTGACCACTTTAAATGTTCATATTTTTGATGCTAAGATTATTCCAAAAGACTTGTTCCCAGCGAAATTGAAAAGATATAAGATTTTCATAGGAGATCAGGCAAGGGATAGGTTTTTTAAGAATGAATGCTTGAGAGCACTTAACTTGAAGCTAAACACAAGCATTCATCATTTGGATCCTGGAATTAAAAGGTTGTTGATGAACACTGAAGATCTGTACCTTGAAGAAATGAAAGGTGCCGAGATTGTGCTGCCTGAATTCCATGACTGGCATTGTTTTCGATATTTGAAGAATCTCCATATCCAAAATGGTTTGGAGATCCAATATATCGTTGATGATCATGATGCAGTTGATATAATTGAGTTTCTCCAATTACGATCTTTGACACTTGAAGATCTACCAAAGCTCGTTAGCTTCTGCTCTGAGAACAAACCGGGCTCTGCTTTCATACCTCAACATCAGTTGCCACTTTTCAGTCGAAAGGTAATTATGTATTCTTGAGTAGTAATGTTTTTTGAGCCTATTCTTGTGTTGGAAAACATCATTCCTTTTTTTTTTCAATGTTTTAATTCTAGAATAATTACACACATGTAGATGGTCTTCCCTTGCTTGGAGAATCTTCATTTGTCCTCAATCAATGTTGAAAGGATATGGCAGAGCCAGCTTTCAAATAAAGGGTTGTGACAACTTAAAACATCTATTATCATCTTCCATGGCTACAAGTCTAGCACATCTCAAATGTTTTGAGATAGTTGAATGCAAGTGCTTGAGGGAGATAATATTTACAGAAGATATAGAAGAAGAAAACAAGTCTACGATTTCATTTCCTCAATTAAACTCTCTAAAGATAAGGAATCTTCAGCATATCATTGGATTTTGTTCAAAAGATTATAATATTGAATTCCCATCCTTGAAGTTATTGGAGATAAAGAACTGTCCTCGATTGGAGGGATTCATATATAAATCTACAATGGAGGAGAACCAATGTTTCTCTCCACAAGTTCTCTTCAGTGAAAAGGTATTACAGTTAATATTTTCTTTTGTAAACTTGCTTAACCTGTGTATGGCTTTTAAGGTTTTTGATATATTGTTGGAACTAACTTTTATATATTACTTATTAATGGTATGAATTGCATATAGGTTGCATTTCCTACTTTGGCAAAGATGAACCTATCCCACTTGAGCAATATGAAGATGATATGGCACAATCACCTGTCTGCAAGTTCCTTTTGCAAACTGGAAAGAATGGAGGTTAGACACTGTGATGAGTTATTGACTATTTTTCCATCTACTATGCTGTTGGGAGGAACATTCCAACTACTGCAAAGTATGTCAGTATCCCATTGTGGTTCACTAGAAGAGGTATTTGAACTACAAATGTTAAATATGGAAGACCCGCGGGTTGTGGTTACCCAACTAAGAGAATTGTATGTTTTTAATCTACCAAAATTGAAGAATGTTTGGAACAAGGACCCCCAAGGAATTTTGACATTTCAAAATTTAAATGTAGTATACGTTAGGGCCTGTTGGAGTTTGAAGTATGTGTTTCCGGCCTCAATTGCCAGAGTTCTTCCACAACTTAAAGATCTTACAGTAGATAGCTGCGCAGTGGAGGAGATTGTTTCGAAAGCGGAAGGATGGGAAATGGGTGTTACTAATTTTGAGTTTGATCAAGTGTCCTCCCTAGTGCTATGGAACCTTCCAAAACTTAAATGTTTTTATCCAGGAATGCATACAACAAAGTGGCCAATGTTAAAAAAGTTGAAAACATACCACTGCAACAAAGTGAAGATACTTGACATCGGATACCTTAATTTGCCAGAAATGAATGAGGATGACCATTTGGAGTCCCCAATCCAACCACCACTCTTGTTAGTTGAAAAGGTATGACCTCTAGCACATACTTAAAAAGCTACCTTGTTAATAATACCTTGTACCTGATCTTTTTTATTGATCATTTCATTCAAATTTGAATTATATCATTTCTAAAAGTCTTATAATGGAAATTCACTAGCTCTTTAGACTTTAAGCAAAGAGACACAAGCACCTATGTACCAATTAGCCAAATGCTTAGATGCTGTAATATATCTCTTAGTAGATAAATTTTCCATTTTCACTAGAAAAGTACAAAATTCTAATTGATTTTTCTTTGCTTTTTTAGGTGGTTCCTAAATTAGAAGAAGTGTCCTTGACCAGCGATGACATTGCAATCATATGTGATAGCAAGGTTTCCAAAGGCATTTTCCATGAAATAAAAGCTCTTTATTTGGAATGCTACCACGATGAATCTGCTATTTTCCCAACTATCTTTCTTGAAAGATTCAGCAATTTGGAAAAGCTTGAGGTGATTTGTTGCAAATTTATGGATTTATTCTCCTCCGAAGGAGGTTTTGGTAAGGGGACCAATGCTCAAACGCTTTTACCTATTAGAAACTTAAGACTGAACAGCCTTTATTATAAAAAACACATATGGACGCAAGGGTCACGACTTGACTGCAATTTTCCCAATCTTGAAACACTTGAAGTTTCCAATTGTGGCAACTTGATTAGCTTAGGATTGTCCTCAACACCTTTTCAAAATCTCATGACTTTGGATGTTCGGGAATGTGAAGCAATGATAAACTTAGTTACATCCTTAGCAGTCCAAAGTTTGGTCCAACTCAAAAATTTGAGAATAAAAAACTGTGTTTCAATGAAACAAATTATTGGAAATGAGGGAGATGATGAAGCAGCCTCTGTCATTATTTTCAACCGGTTGAAATGTTTGGAACTTGGACATTTACCAAGCCTCAAAAGCTTTTGTTCAGGCAATCACACATTTGGATTCCCATCTTTGGACCAAGTAATTGTAAGCCAGTGTCCTGAATTGGAGATCTTTTGCAAGGGAGAGTTAAATGCTCCAACTCTGCAAAGAGTACAAGTAACTGACAAAGATGAGAAGGGACATTGGGATGGTGACCTTAATAGCACCATTCAACAGTTGTTCAAAAAAAAGGTACTTACTGATTTACAAAAGTTTTTTTTTTTTAATCTTTGAAATAAATGTCTTTTTAGGCAAGCTTTTTATTGGTAGATGTTATTTTCAACCATTTATTATTATTTTTTGGGTTTGATTTTATTCAAGTTTTATATATTCTTTTTTTTTTTGTGTGTGGTAATAATTGGTGTCATAAATTGGATTCCGTAGGTTGACTATGAAGCAATGGAGTATCTAATGCTTACTGAGTTTTCCAAGGCAATAGAGATCTGGAGGGATAATCTTCCAAAAAGTTTAAATTTAAAAAATCTTAAATGTTTGGAAGTTTATGAATGTAATAGCTTGACATACGTATTTACCACTTCCATGGTTTTGGATCTTGTGCAATTGAAGCAGATGCAAGTTAGAAATTGTCCGATGATGGAGCAAATTATCACAAATGATGGAGCAGAGGAAGCAGCTACAAACACAATCATGTTTCCTTCCCTTCAATCCATAAGTATTGTGTCATGTTCAAACTTAAGAAGTTTTTATTTGGGAAGTAATACGGTGGAATGTCCATATTTGACAGCACTTGGGTTAGTGGATTGCCCTAAGATGGTTGCATTCATATCTTCATCTCCAAGAGAGCAGAATATAGAGAATATTGGTATTGCACCATTGTTCAATGATAAGGTTAGTTTTTGTTTCTGCATTTGGTTCTTTATTTTCTATTAATGACTTTTTATTAAATTGAAATATTGGATAATATTTGTTTATTTCTTATTCATTACATTAACTATTTTACTCTTAATTAATATATTTTATTAAATTGAAATGTTGTCTAATATTTATTTATTTTCTTATTAACACTGAAAACTTTATTAAAATAAACTTATCTTAATTGATAATTTTTTATTGAACTAAATATTAATTAATTTTGATCTATTTTATTTCTTTATTAATCTTGAATTTTTTATCAAAATAAACTATTTTTAATCAAATTTAATTGTATACCTTTCTATCATTAAAAAGTTTAAATATGTATAAGATTTATTATTAATATATAATAAATAAGTTGCAAAATGTTATTTTTTTATATATTCTAATTGAATTAGATATAAAGGGACTATTGTTTTTCCTCTTCATATTTTTTTTCTTTTTTATGAAAGTCTATTTTCCTATTAAAGAGAGGAGAGATTCACTTATACTAGCTTAAGAGCTACACATTTTTTGACCTTTTAATCAAAATGGTTAAATGTAAGTGTTAAAGATTTAATTTTGATATAAAGGTCAAAAAAATGTGTAACTCTCATATCGATTGTAAGTAGATCCTTACACACACGCGCGCGCGCACACACACACATATATATATAATATATAAAGTGATTAACTTACGTCAGTGTAAAACTTTTTAATTTTAGTTTTATACTTTTTCTAGTCATTGATATCAATAGATTTAATAGATGAGATTAAACCATTTTTTCATTTGTCTCTTCAATTACTTTGATCTATTGAAATTAATGATTAAAAAAAATATAAAACTAAAAAATTTTAGACTGATGTAAATTTGTCCCTCTTTCTTTATATATGAAGAGGTATCTACCTACATTAGTGTAAATCTTACATTTTATATTATTCTTGGATCAAAATTACTAAAATTAAAATTATTATTTTGATTCAAATTATTTATGAATTTGATTTTGATCCAAATGTTAAAAAAAATATAAGACTTATATTAGTATAAGTAAATCCTTACTTTCTCTTTCTCTCTCTCTCTCTATATATATATATATATATATATATAT